TAGTAGTACAGGTCTAGCTTCATGTGGGGGAGATTTCTTTCTGGTGGGGAAAAGAAAACCCAAAAGGAAAATGAAAAAAAAAATCCAAGACAGGGGGTCGTAATTTCTTGTATATCATTTTGCCTGGGAAATGTCTATATCTGTTTATAGGTGTGCTTGCGTGATTCAGCTGATGTGTGTGGGGATGCTGCTTCAGAATACAGTGCGAGACTATTTTGTAATTGGAATATTTCCGTGGCAATTGTCGTGGGAGCCCGAGTCGGCCATGGCGAGGCTAGACCCGTTAAGATGTGTCCATGGGGCGGACGGCAGGTTAAATATTGTTGAAATGTTAAACGCCGGCCGAAAACTTGAGAGACCCTTACTGGCAGGAGCAGGAGAGCGGGGTGGCCGCAGGGCAGGGTGCCGGGCTGGGGACAGGCGAGCCCAGCCTGGCAGCAGGTCCCCTGCCTGAGCCCACACCTCAGCCGGGCGCTGCTTAATGCCCACATCCACCATATCTGCCAGACGCTGCAGAGGAGGGGTCATGGCCAAGGGTACACTCTAACAGTCTGAGGTATTTTTGATTTTTTTTTTCTTCTTCTTTGATTTTGATAGAGGAAATCAAGTCTGATACTCCAACAAGCAATTGGTTAACTGCAAAGAGTGGCAGAAAGAAGAGGTGTCCTTATACTAAACACCAAACACTGGAATTAGAGAAAGAGTTCTTATTCAATATGTATCTCACTCGAGAGCGCCGTCTAGAGATCAGTAAGAGCGTAAACCTCACTGACAGGCAGGTCAAGATTTGGTTTCAAAACCGCAGAATGAAGCTCAAGAAGATGAGCAGGGAGAACCGAATCCGGGAACTGACCGCTAATCTGACCTTCTCTTAAACCCTAACCCCGGGGGGGGGCACCAGTGAGGAATGGGCACAGCACCACCACTTGATAAAGGCAGGAGAGACTCTGGCAAAACCCGGCATTTTCCAGTTTTGTTTTGTTTTGTTTTGTTTTCTGATAGAATGTGACTCTTCGTCCTTCTTTTAGCGCTGCAAGTGAATATGTATTACTATGATGAGTATATATAAAACCTAGCACGTGTAATTTATTTTTGTTCTCATCGTAATGCAGGGTAACTATTATTGAATATTATCATTTGGTCTTAACTTATTGGAACTGTCGAACATCCAAGCAATGTGACTTTTTCATGTTTTTACTAACAAAATGGTATTTATGTGGGGCTGTTACACGGGCCATAACATTTTGAGTACATTCAATACTTTCAGAAAAAGAGTGGGGGGAAACTGTGGGGGCGGGGGGAAAAAGAAGCACATTATAATGTAACTATCCTCTCAAATGAACTTAGAGATTGTCCTTCGTAAAATGGAATATTTCCTTCTTCTCCATTGTAGACATTTCCTTGTGGTGCATATGTGGAATAGTAGTCGTTCAGCAGCAAATTGTCCTTCTTGTGCATGTTCTGTTTGCATGTATAATGCAATAAACTCTGTAAACTACTGCGGTTCCTTTGGTTTTCTACAAATGTTTGAAGCACGGATACAGGTTGGTCTCCTGATCTCTCTCTATCAGCAGCTTTTTGGACTGGTGTACCTTTTTTACCATATTCTGGTCTTTGTGTGTGTCTGCCTGGCATTCTTTCTTTCTTTTCCTCCATTTTTTCTCCCTCCCTTCCTTTCTTTTTTTTTTTTTTTTTTTTTTTTTTTTTTTTCTCTACGGGGTGGGGTGGAGACTGGGCCGGAAAATGATGTGTACCCGATTAATTTATAAATGTGTCTGTAAACAACTGATTACTTGATAAAATGTTGTGTGATGTTCGCAGTCTGACAAACTGAATGCAAAAAAAAAAAAAAACCAACAACAAAAACAAAACAAACCAAAAAAACCCAAAAAACAAAAAACACAAACAAAAAAAAAAAAGAAAAAAAAAAGAAAAAAAAGAGGACGGATAAAAAAAGTTGTAAAATATTATGACTTAAGTGGACATCCTCATCCAATCGACTCGTACAACTCGTAAATGGTAAGTGATAAAAATATCTTTCTACTACAAGCTGTCAGGAATATGTGTGTCATTTTATTTGATGTTCATATGTTGATTTAAAAAATATCACTCCCTGCGTGCTTACAATGTGCAGACTTTGATTTCGTGTCTTTGCTCACTAAAAATAAAAGAAGGAAAAACCAACAAAAAAACCTCCATAATGATTGCAAAGCTGGGCATAAGTAAATGTTAAGGAGCTCGGTTTTCGGTCGGCTCAACAGCTTTCAGAAGACCGTGGATGGAAAAAATATTCCCTCAAAACCTTCCCAGCATCTGGCGAGGTTGGCTTTTTTTGAGCAGAAACCCTTCCAGGCGTGCTTACAAAAGTACACCAGCCTCTTCAGACCCACTTTTGTCACCGTTTCTGTTTGCTCAGAGATCGTTTTATTTCGCGCAATTCCATTTTAGTAGCACACATCCAGCTAATGACGTTCACGACTCTTAACCCTTTCTGTACATAGCTGAAAAATAGTATTAGCAGGGCTCTGCGCTGGAAGCTGAGGAAGGGTACGTGTGCTGAGAGCGGGCGAACGCCCGTGCGAGCACATATACTCAGTAGAACTGCAAATAGCTTGCAAATGAACATGACTTCAAATTGAAGTGCAAATACTTGGGCATGCTTTCACCTTCAAACGGGTACTGCAAAAGTAGCGGCTACTGCTGGCGCTGGGAAACCAGCTCGCTCACAATCAACGCCCATTTCTCCCCTAAGCTCTTTCTAAATCAAGAAATTAAACTCAAGATAGTGCCAATATTGTGCGACTTGGTGACAGATACTGCTCATAATGCTGTTGGTGGCATTCTGTTTGCTCTTTCGTCGCTGATATTTAATTTAATCCAGCACTTCCTCATGTGCACATTTACTCAGAGGGAAGAGGCTATATATTCCTCCAACCAAGGCATCATCATTTTGGAGCTGCGAGAGCCGCAAGCACCTAGGTACTTCGTGCTTCTTCCCTTTTCGAAAACAAACATCAAAACGATGCTTTTAAAAAATCTTCCCCAATAACCCCAAACCAACAAAACAACCCCTTAAATATTGCATACATTCGCACGGCCTTTTCTTTTCCTTTAAAGGTACTCGCTACACCACCAAAGAAGTTTCGGCAGTGAGAAGTAAATAGCTGGCTCCATACCAAGAGTTAAACGTATGTAAAAATGAGGCTCACTCTAATCTGCCTGCTTTACCAATTTATATCTGTTTGAAGCGAGAGGCAATTCTTTGCCATATCACAAACCCTGCTTCTAGAAAACAATGCAATAGAAATTATAAAATGGCAGAAGAAAATGCTAAAGCCAAATGAAATGACACCAAAAAAAAAAAAAAAAGAGTAAAGGAAAAGGAAAAAAATTAAAAAGAAAAAAAAAGGGGAAAAAGGAAGAAAACAACCTAGGAGAGCAATAAATCATTAAATAAACAGGAATTTCAGTCCCTTCCTCATAACGGCCCGCGAGTAGGAAGTGTTTTCCCAGCGCTGCTGTCCGTGCCCCCGGCGGGCTGTGCTGCGGGCTCGCCACTAACTCTCTGCGTTTCCTCCAGATCCCGACACAGCCACCGTCCCTCGCCCGGGGAAGCAGGCGTGGGCAGAAGACCATGGGTAATCCACTTTTCAGTACTAACGGGGCGTCCTTTCGCTCGGGGAAGAAAAACTAGGCCGGGAGGGAAGGGTGGGGAGGGAAGGCATGCAAAAGAAAGCGAAGGGGGCAAAAAAACCCTCACGTAGGCATTGAACGTGGCTCCCCCTGAACTAGGGGCGGAGGAGACAGCTCTGCCGGCGAGCTGGGGTCAGCGACAGCCCCGCGCCTCCGCGGCCCGGAGCCCGCCCGCCCGTGCGGCCCTGCCCGCGGCCGCGCTGGCAGCTGCGGGGCCGGGCCGCCTCCTGCGCGCTGTCTTTGCCCGCGTCCCTCCCGGGCAGCACTGGACACCTTAAAGGGGGGCTGTGTTAAGGCTGTGTAGCCCCAAAGTTCCGCAGATAGAGGAGCATGTGTTCAGCCACACGTCAGTCGTGCTCGGAGACAGAGGCTTTGCTGTTTCCATCCGTCCATTTTATTAGGGACACATTAATCTATAATCAAATACACCTCATAAAATTTTTATTGAAAGGCATAAAATCATTACAGAGGTCTTCCACCTGTTTTAAAACAACACAATGGGCATCTCTTTTTAAAAGTGTATCCTTTCCAGGGAAACTTTCTGTCCGGGGGTGGGGGGAGCGGATAATAATACCCGCACATGCTCTGAAATATGGAAGTACCGCAATGTGCTTTTACTGTAACATTTTCCTGTTTTATGAGAAGTCGTTACAGTCCCAGCTTGCGATGGTTTGTTTTTACAGGCAAGAATCCCCCTTTCCCAGCGGGTTCCCTCAGCAGCTTGGAGTGTGATTAGCAAGCCAAGGCTGTTGGATTTATTTAAACACCCTGCCTCTCATTGATTAAGAAATGAATGGCAGAAATCGCTCAACGAAGGTGAAGAAATAGTCCGCACCCGCCGCGGCCGTGGGCAGCCAGCGCGGCCACGCCCGCCGCGCCCGGGCCGGCAGGACAGACAGGCGGACAGACAGGCGGGCAAGTTGGGCAGGCAGGCAGGCAGGAGAGCGGGGAGGGCCGGGCAGGACGGGCAGGCAGGAGGGCAGCGCGGGCGGGCAGGGGGCACGCCGGGCGGGCAGGGCAGGGCCGGGCAGGGCAGGGCAGGGCAGGGCGGGTGGCCCCGCGCGGTGCGGGGGCGCGGGCGGTGCGGAGCGCTGTGCGGGGCCGCTGTTGATGATGATTTTTTTTTTAATCACAGCAGCCCCAGTTTAGCGGATTGATTTACTCGCAGTATTGGTAAATATGATCACGTGGGCTCCACAACCAATGGTTGAGGGTTGCAGTCTGCAAAATACTACGATTGTTCTCCGGGAGGGTATCATATACAGTTAACAGTGTAACCTTTTATATGACTAAGAGGGGAGCCTAAAATGTCGTCTAGTGGCACCATAAGTAACTATTATGTCGATTCTCTCATAGGCCATGAAAGCGAAGAAGTTTATGGGAGTAGATTCGTCCAGGGAGGTCACAGTGCGACCTCCAGGCCATCAGGTGTTGCAGAGAGTTCAGATTTTTCCTCTTGTAGCTTTGCACCAAAATCCACCGTGTTTTCCACCTCCTGGTCCACTGTTCACCATCAGCCGTCTGCGGCAATGACCGGGATCTACCACCCCTACATGCACCAGCCCCACTTAGGGGCAGCCGACGCTGGCCGCTACGTGCGCTCCTGGATCGAGCCCTTCCCGGGCTTCCCGGGCGGCGGCGGCGGCGGCGGCGGCGGCGGCAGCGGCAGCGGAGGCAGCAGCAGCGGCGGCTCCGCGTCCAGCTCCGGCTCCTCCAACGGGCGCCACTATGGGATAAAGCCGGAGACGGGAGCAGCCACCTCCTCGTCTTCCTCCTCCTCTTCCTCCTCCTCCAAAAGGACTGAATGCTCCTCGTCTCGGGAGTCCCAGGGGATCGGTGTGCCCGAGTACACGTGCAGCTCCTTCCTCCAGGAGTCCCGGGAGAAAGCGCCTGCCGGCAGCTCCAAGGACCCCGCCGCCTGCAGCCACAACCCCAGCCCGAGCAGCGATCTGAAAGAGGAGAAGCAGCAGCAACTTGACCCGAGTAAGTAAAAAAAAACCCAAAAAACCTCAAAAAAACCCAAAAAAAGGAAGAAAGAAAGACAAGAAAAAGAAAATAAAAGAAAAAGACAATCAAAACAAAATGGGGAGTTGGGGAAATAGAGAGGAATAGCGGCAGAGAGAGAGAGGGAGAAAAAGAAAGAAAGAAAAAAGGAGAGGAGGAGAGAAGGAAGGAAGGAAAGTAAGAAAGGAAGCAAGCAAGGAAGGAAGGAAGGAAGAAAGAAAGCGAGAGAGAGAGAAAGAAAGAAATTGCCCCTTTGATTTATTGCCGAAACCTGTAAGGCTCGAATGTGCAAAACTGATAGTTTTACTAACCTATAAAAACGTCTAGACGCCTACCCCAGCGCAAGCAGCAACAAGCACCCATAAAAGACTCCACATAACCACCTACCATCAAGACATCATTTGTACAGTAAACAGACTGGGGCATTAAGGCTTTTATGATAATTCCTCCAAAGTTGTGAAAACAGTCCATCCTTCGTTAAATTAATTTAACGACCTTTCTCTCTCCCCCCCCCCTCCCCGTTCCCTATATACCTCCCTTCTTCCAGATAACCCTGCAGCAAACTGGATCCACGCTCGTTCAACGAGGAAAAAGCGTTGTCCCTACACAAAGTATCAAACTCTGGAACTGGAAAAGGAATTTCTGTTTAACATGTACCTCACCCGAGACCGCCGTTACGAAGTAGCTAGGATTTTAAACCTCACAGAGAGACAGGTCAAAATCTGGTTTCAGAACAGAAGAATGAAAATGAAAAAGATGAACAAGGAGAAAGGCAATAAAGGAGACTAACGCTGGGGTGGAAACGTAGTTGGAGACTATTGATTTAGTTTTGAGTTTGGATTTTTATCGGGGGAGTGTGGGGTTTTGGTTGTTGAGGCTTTTTTTCTTTTTTTGGTTTTGGGTTGTGGCTGCTTGTTTTTGTTTGGTTGTGTGGGGGTTTTGGGGGGTTTGGTTGTGGTTTGGTTTGTCCTTTTTTTTTTTTTTGTTAGTTTGGTTTTATTCTTTCTCTGCACCCTTAGCCCCCCCATAAGTTCCTCCTCCTCCTGCGCCACTCCACCCCAGGGATTTTAAATCAATGGCGCTTTTTTTTTTTTTCCTTTTCTCTTTTTCCTTTTTTTTTTTTTTTTTTTTTCCTTGGTAGAAGTGAAACGTGGTCTGTGTCAGGTATTTCCGGAAATTTTGTCTTGCTCGACAACGTGTTTTTCAGTCTCTTGATACTCCCCTCCTCCTTCCCAGACCATTTAGATGACAATATTGTGAGTGCACGTTAGCTTTGGGAACTCTATCTGATGTTAAATGTTTGACATGTTTCTTAAAAGTGATGTAGACTAGATAGTTATTTTGCCAAAATAAAGGTAAGGAAATTAATTATAATTACGGTAATAAAATACATATTAAATTACAGCCGCTTAAATCAATGGGGGTTGCTGTGCTGTCCACGACCTACTAAGAGGAAATCTTTCCCCAAACTTCTGCTTTCTAGGTCTGAATCCTTCGCAATAGATGCCACAGAGAGGCCACGAGCTGCTTCCCCCCCCTTTAGTGCACTGTTAGGAGCTGTCTCACCCTCGGAGCCGCTCGCCATAGGCCTAGCCCTGCCGGTGCCCCGGCAGCTGCCGTCCCTGCCCGCGGTGCTGTTGTATTCATTAACCGCTCCGTGTCTCCAGCCACGGACCTGTTGTAATTGTTGTCACTTATTACACAATAAAGTCTGCCGTGACCGAACGACAGCGCTGCGCTGAGAGCAGAAATCTGTGCGCCCCTCGCGATGCGCCCCGCGCCGCCCGCCCTGCCGCGCAGCCCCGCGCAGCCCCCGCGGGCCGGGCCGGCGGCAAAGGCCGGGGTGACGGGAAAGGCTGGGCCGAGCTGCCGGCCAGCAGCACCTCCGGCACCTTCCCCGGCCCCCTGAGCCGCAGCTGCTGCCGCAGGTCAGGCCGAGGGGCCGGCTGGGCGCGCCCGCCGCGCCGTGCGCGGGCCTCAGGTACCAGCGCTCCTACAAACAGCGGCGATCCCTCGGGCTTGGTCAGGAAATGCTTCCGCACCAGTCCGCAGGAGCCAAGGAAACACAATGATGCCTATTCGGTTAAACATGGGTTTTATTCCTGGGGTTTTTTCCTACTGGGTCGCTTCTAACCTCTGCTTTAAGTGGGAGGCTGGAAGCTCTGGAGGGGACACGGCTGCTGCCAAACGCTCGGCTTTGTTGGCGAGAGCTCATTTAGCGACGCGCCTCATGCCTTCTGCATTTATAAACACACATGACTTTATCAAGATAATTGAGATGAAGTTCATTGTAAAAAATGCTTTGTTTAAAGAGCAACCATTAAAATGAAGGACCCGTAAATATTTACGAGCAGTTCGGTTAATTCAAGATTAAGGGGAGAGCTGAGAGACCTGGTGTTTAATGTTTTTTACCTCTGTGAATAAAAAAAAAAAAAAAAAAAAAAAAAAAAAAAGCAAGCAAAAGCATGCACCGCCAGGAAAAGGTGTTGCATTGCTTCCCATCCATTGTCGAGAAGATACCTATAATTCTTTTAAAACAGGAAGAACCGTGGTATAATAAAACCATTGAGATGGCTAGACGTCTGGACCTAATGAGTTTACGATATGCTATGGCACTTTTCTTTGAAAGCACCTTATTTTGATGTTTGTGTTTGTTAGGGGGGAAAAAAGGCAAAAAAATGCAGACAAACTAGGTCTTAAAACCTTGGACTATAAATTTCAGTATGTCAGCATTGGGCCAAGGCAACAGACTCAAAAAGGACCTGAAGGTCACGAAACAGAGATTTTACGAAGTCCACTTATTTGTTGAAATGTATTTTATTGGATATTCTGTTGCAATGAATCCTATGATGCCAGCCTCAATATTTTCGCAAATACCCATGGCGGGGGGGTGGGGGGTGGGGTGTGTGTGATCTGTAACAACGCATAAACAATATCCTTGTACATAAACTGCATTGTGTTGATCCCAGCAGAGGCTCTGTTAAGAAATTTTCACCAAGCCCACACCATCTTTTAATATTTTATATCAAGCAGATTGACACATTTAACCTCGTATATATTTTTTTCTTTTGTTTACCTGCGTGCATTTATTTCAAAATGGCAGAAAGAAAACCAAACATCTCGATCGATGAAACGTCGTTCATCTATGGAAATTACTTTTAGTGTCAAACAGAATAATTTAATTCCTACCCGTTGGTTGTGTTAATATATGTTTTCACATATGCACAGTCTCGTGCACACGCATTATACCGAATAATTCACAGGCATGTGTGATGAAGGAGGGGGTGAACAAAGATTCATCTTTACTTTTGTTTACATAAATCAATCCATAAATACATAAAAGCGCGGGCAAACAAAATAACATCTTCAATACAAAAACGTATAACTCTGAAACTACCACACATGGAGATTTCATGCTGTAATATGTGGGGAAACATGATCGAAAACGCGATAGCAGTCGTCTTCAAAGCTCAGGCGTCTTTCCTGGCTGCCATGTGTAAACGAGGCGCATTCTTTGTATGCAGTTAATTATAGCTCTGGCAAAAAAATAAAAGAGGGTCACCGAAACGTGCTAAGAGAAAATGGCACTGTAAACTTGGGGGTGGGGGGTTGGGGGGGGGGGAGGGAGGGAAAAAAAAACAGAGAAAAGGAAGAAAAAGGAAGAAAAAAAGAAGGAACCCAAGCCCAAACCAGGAAGCAAAGGAAGAGTCGGCCGCACTGGCCCCGCGGTGCTCCGCAGTTCGCGTTCCTGGCGAGCGGCGGGGCCGCGGGCAGCGCGGGCAGCGCGGGCAGCGCGGAGCGGGGGCGCCGCCTGCCGCTGCCGCAGCGCACCGCCAGAGGGCGCCCGCGCTCCACCCTTGCGCGGCCGCCGCGCCCGCTCTGCGCGCCCGCGGCCCGGGAACCGCGGCTCGGCCTCGGCACCGCAGCCCCGCGGGCACGGACGGGCTGCCCGCGGAACCGACGCACGGGAGGAGGGGCGAGGGTGTCTGGCGCGGATGCGGGAAGCAGCCACTGCCCCTCTGTGCCCCTCCGCAGGATGAGGCAGTGTCTCTATGCTGCCGCTCAGCCCCTGCCAGGCCCGGCCTCCTGCCTTCCTGTGCTCTCTGGCGAAGGGCTTTAGCTGCTGTCTGTTCGTGTTTGTGTGCGTGTGCGTGTGGCCGGGCCTTTCCCGCCTTTCCCGCCTTTCCTTGGGCTGCACGGGGGTCCCTAAGCCTCCCCGAGTTCCTAAAGGCTGGGCCCGGGGCCGCCTTTAGGGGCCCCTGCCCGGGCAAGGCTGTCCTTGCGGGCACAGGGCCCGTCGGGGTGCTCACATGCGGGGCAGCCGGGCTGGTCAGCGAGACAAAGCCAGTTAATCGGCCTGGAGGCGGGGGGGTGGTGGAAGAACGGGGTGTGATGGGGAAGGAGCCTGAGATGCCTTTTATGTAACCACAAGGATTTTTTTCTCAATTCGCATCAGACGGTCACACGTGGCTCTGGCTGGGCCTGTATTATATTTCACCTACATTTTTCGTCTCTCTCCAAAATAGGGCGGACTCGAACTCCTGAGGGTTTCTCTCCAAAAATCTGATTCCCACTGCAGGACGAAGCGGAAAACAGAGGACTGGAGACGACGCTTCTTGGGGCACGGGGGCCGGCGGGGGTGGCCGGCCCGGGCGGGGGCAGCGCCGAGCCTGCTGGGCAGCGCTTTTCTTCCTTCCTTCCTCCCGGAGAACAGGGCTCGTTTATTTCGGACCGAGTCCCCGAGCGGTGCTAACCGTTCACCCACAGATTTTTATTTTTTCGCCCCCCTCCCTCTCTTTGCCTCGGTAATGACGTCCACCAAGGGTGAAATGATGGAAAGTATATTCATAGGCATGATTTCCATTAAGTATCAATTAACCTGGAGCCTCAGCCATGCGTGCAAGGCGTCAAGGGTAAATGTGCATCTCATTTCCCAGCGATCTGCTCGCCTGGAAGGAAATGACCCGGAGGGCCCGTTGGCAAGGGGGCCCTGCCGCTGCACGGTGCCGCCCTGCGGGCACCCCACTGTCTTCGCCTGCACCCCGGAGCCCCTGCGGTGGGCATCGGCTCTCTCTGAGGGGCTCTGCCCTCGCCGGCCGGCGGTGCAGGCCGCGCTGGGGGCAGTACAGCCCCGGTGAGCCGGGCGGCGTCGCGCCGGGCAGCGCGCCCGCGGTTATCGCGCGGGATCTGCGCGGCCGCCTCGCCCCTGCGCGGCGGGGGTTTCAGCGGCTCCTAGCGAGCGCACACCGGAGGGGGGAGCGGGGGTGCCGCGGCCGGGGTGGATCCGGGCAGGGCTGGGCCGAGTTTTTTTCTTGCCCGAGGAGCGGCACATGTAAACTGAAGCCAAAAGTCCCCCCTGAGCTCATGAGCGTGTGTGTGTGTGTGTGCGTGCGCGGGCTGCTGTGTGCCTAATAGGAAATAGTAAAAGCAGTGAGGCAGGTCATTTTGGGAGCGATTATAATCCAGTCCTGGTCACCACATACACGGAGAGCAGGAGCGGGGAACGCACGGGCCAGCGGCGGCGGCGGCGGCATGAGCGCGGCGTAGAGGCACCGGCGGCGGCGGCGGCGGCGGCGGCGGCGTGAGCAGCGCCCCGTGCCCCCGCCCGCCGCTGCCCCCTCCCCGATGAGCTCCTACTTTGTCAACCCGCTCTACTCCAAGTACAAGGTGGCGGCGGCCGCGGCGGCGGCGGCGGCGGGGGAAGCCATCAATTCCCCGTACTACGACTGTCACTTCGCACCCGAGGTGAGCGGCCGACACGCCGCCGCCGCCGCCGCCGCCGCCGCCGC